CGGAAGCTGCCCGTAAGGCGGCTCTGATGCGCGCTCATCCACGTTCAGTCATTGACCCTCGTGTGGAATATGGCTTCCGCCCGGTGGATCTCGCTGCGGAAGCGAAGGACGCGGTAACTCGATCGTTACGCGTCCACATCATCGGGCCCCCAGCCATTACGGAAGCTGAACTTGCCGAACGGAAAGCTCTTCGAGATCTTCTCTCGGTCCCACACGAAATTCCGTTGGACATTTATCACACTCGTCACGTGCTCAACGAGGTGGCTCTCATGTACCCGCAATGCGGACGATACCTATAGTGCTCGCCCCCGGTGCTATAATATAGCAAGCCGTTATTCAACGAATATCGGTGCAATTGTGTACGCAGTCTTGGTGACAATTTTTTGCCCGAGTCTCCAAACTCCTTGCTCCCGAGAACCCGTAGCAGCGCTACATACATCCCATCACCCGCATACGCGGTGCGGATCAAATCTGTCACAGACGACGTTGACTGCTTACAGAGAGGGATTCGCGGACCCTGCGTGGGAGCCCAAGTCTTCATGTCATTTAGCCGAGAGAATGGGGACACGCGTTATGCTGATTTACTACGTCAATTATGCCACGGTACCGCACGGCAGCTGAGTGATCTATTACTTTTTACCCAGCATGTCTGAGATGTATGACAACTTATGTGGTTCAAGCGGTTTCGATGGCTCAATTTCTGAAATACAGAACTTTCTTATACGCTATTTGTTATCAAATCATCTCGTGTCCATAAATTGCATCCTGGGATCGACCGAATGCGGTTAGAACAAGGTTTTAGTATGCTGACAATGCACCGGAGTCGGGATCATTTTCAGTCAGTAGCTATATTTTTTTCAGCATAAAGTATAGTCTCAACTTAACGATAGATAAGTCTACTACCATACCTTACAGTTTGCTCAGAGTGAGACCACATGATCGCGGACCTCTCCTTTTCAGTGTGGCATCATCCTCATCAGTACTTATACTTTGGTACTTTAAGGCGTACGTGCGACAAAACACGAAACGTCTCCGCTACACTCTTATATCGCCCCGTCTTCTTTGCACAGATAAGTGCCATTACTTCATCAAGACTGATCAACAACTTCACAACCAGGATTAATTATCCTCCAAAAAGACGTCAGTAGCTACATTGAAAATTGCCGAATATCCTTTGAACTAAATGCGAGAAAGACCCTACTACGTTGTACCGACTCAAAGCTACTATTTTTGCTATACGACGAGGAAACTGGGCCTAATCATAACAGAATGGGGTAGAGGATATTGTATTTACCTAGCAAAGGTGCAACTCGATACACGAAATCTACCCAACGTAGCTATCTTTAAAAAGCACCTCACGCTTTTTAGCATAATTTTTTACGTAGTGCCAATGACGTGGATCGAGTACTGCTTAAGAATGCTATGCAGATAATTTGCTGATGTTCTTTCAGCATTGTTCTTGTCAATAGTGTAAATCCGTGCATGGCGAATCTTATTTGCTGTAATGCCATTTAATAATTGTGTACCCTGAGCCGCAAATTTACCTCTTCAATTTAAGGCGCCCCTCTCCTCAAACCTCTCTCCACCAGAAATAAAGAATGTTGTGTGCCTCAACCCGTCTCGCTTCTCGCGCGCTGCACACGTCGTCACGCGTGTTAGCCGCCACAGCTGACCAATCAGCTGCTACCACCACTAAGGTGACGTTAAACCTCACCACGCCCTACCAGGCGTTTTACAAGGGCGCTGAAGTGGATCTCGTTCAGATTCCCGGTGTCGTTGGAGAATACGGTGTGACTGCTGGTCACACACCTGTGCTATCACAACTCAAACCTGGCGTTATCAAAGTTCACGTGGAGCGCGAAAAGGATGTACAAAGCTTCTTTACGGCGGGTGGCTTTGCTCTCACTCACGCCAACTCGGTCACTGACATTGCGTGCGTGGAACTTGTCAAGGTGGAGGACATTGATCCTGAGGCAGCTCAGTCAGGCCTGGCTAAGTTTCAGGCTCAGCTAGCGTCTGCACCTGAAGGCTCAGAAGAGAAACTGAACGCTCAAATCGGTGTAGACACTCACGCTGCCATGGTAGCTGCTGTCGCCAGCAATTAGGAATCGTCGATCATCGCGGCCTTAAATTCGAGATATTCTGTCCTTGTAAAAGCGGCAATGATTTACCAGTTTAAGTTTTCGTTCATACGATGGATGAGGTTTTTGTCGTCATCGTTTGTTAGTCTTGCAACTGCGTAGTATGTACAAAACGGCTCTATAGATAAAAGACAGTTGCTATGCAGGAATGAGACTTGACAGGTATTCAAGGCAACACGCTGCTTAACGTTTTGTTAGTTTGCAAAGCATGCCCACTTCCGTTATCTTCAAATTTTTATATTGTCCCAAGAGTCAACTCTAATATAGATACTTCTCTTAGGATCCGTAGATCATGACGGAGATGGATACAACATTCGGGCGAGGTAATCAGGTGATAAATGTCGTGATGCCTACTTACGTCATGGCTCCGACGGAGAACGAACGGTACGCACTTAAAGATTTATTGATGATCACCATATTGAGATTGCTGTAGTTTTCGTCGCAAAAGGGTATGCAACATTATCTCTGAGTGCATGACAAAGGAACTGGACGGAAAAAAGTTCGTTGAAAGCAACTGCAAGGATTGGAGTACTACCATCGCTGATGCAGTCAAGGCTCGCATTCACGCCGAATGTAACTTTCCACGATATAAGATCGTCGTGCAAACTTTTGTTGGTCAGCAAAAATTGCAGGACATCCGTATCACGTCTCGCTGCTTGTGGGACAATGATCACGACAATCATGCCTCGGCAGTCTTTAACAGCGTGAGTTTGGCAACAATCTATACTTGCAATGCAATGGTCTTACCATTTGATTATAATGCAAGGAATCCATTTGGGCAACCTGTGTGGTGTTCGGCTTTTATGCTGACTAAATTGAAGTTGACGTTATACTCAATACAAAGTTCATTGTTTTTATCGATAAGTTATGTGTTAAGTAAGTCTCTGTATACATGGATAAGCTAGACGAGGATAGTAAAATAGTACATGTAGCAAGAAGCACGGCTTTGTAATGTCCTCAAAAGGCGAAGCAGTTTGCAGCAAATCTTACGGCACTTTCTTCGGCGTTGCGTCCTCTCTTCGTTTTTTCGTCCCATCTCAGACCTTTGTCGAGATCCTCGAAAATCCGCGGTCATACTTTACATCTATTTGCATTGACCAAATCAAACAGCACGACAGACAAAATGCTTCTCAAGCAGCCACCGCGTCAGCAGTGGACACAACACTCAGTTCATCTTGACAAGATTATGTGGCGCTGTTCAGCATCTCCCAAGTGATTTGCAAGTCAAGATCACCTTCATGAGTGCACAAATGCTCCATGTTGGCAAGGATTAGCTCGACTTCCAGCTGTAATTCACATATTTTTGGGTACGCAATAAACTTCATCGACTTGCCGTGGCATGCATCCATGGCCTGCATCTTGACATTGATCAACGCTTCGCGCTCTGTGGGACCGTCACCAAGCGAAATGACATGTCGAGGAATGCCTGCCGAATTTTCCTCGCCATACGACTCCCAGACTGGAAATACCTCATGATTGAATGCCTCCATTTTCCATCGACGCGGACAATCCGGGTATAGGTACTCGTATGTGGATCGCGCAGAAATTACTTTAATACGTGTGTTTAAAAATGGTACAAGTCGCGGCATGAAGAGTGATGCCGAAAGCTCGACCCAGCCGGTTTCAGCGGCTGTCACAATGACAACACGGCCATAAGATAGTGCTGTCTCTAAAAGCTGTACCGCAGATTTTTCAAGCTCTTTTAACTCTGCCTGAACGTCGTCCGGAATTTCGGGCTCCTCATTAATATACTTAGGACACAGGCCAAGCTTGGCGATGGCTGAGGAGGCCATGAGGGTATCATCTATTAATGAGTAGGCGAAGGAGGTGAGAAAGATGAGCTGGCAACACCAAAGGCATCTACTTACCCCAATCAAAAAAGATGACAACGTCATCTGTATCGCGCTTGGTGTTAGTGGTGCGTGGGCTCAGCATGACGCCAACGTCAAAGCTTTTGAGAGAGAGATTAGTTCGCGCTTCTTCGACACAAACGGATACACTGGTGTTGCTATTGGGTGCCATGGTCTAATACTGTCGATAGCGCGGGTTTATCAATATAAAAGGGAAGCACTGCAACTTTAGTCGCGTAGCCGAGTCTTTTGTTTGCGCAGCTGAGTGTGGCTCTCCTGGTGACTGTTATTGACATAAAAACGGAATCATCAACATCAGTACAACTTCGTTTCCATCTCTGCTTTTACGCAGCTATAAAGCTATTGTACTTGCAATACTTACGTTCGGTCGAGAAGATAGCAGTGTCGATTGCTTTGTGCCTTAAAACCGGAACTGACTTTCAGCGTCAGGGGGTCAGTGCTGACAAAAAGCCTGATCTCCAGTCTAACCAATCAACATTTTTTTTGCAATCTTTTGACCAATACAATAAGTTCAGTGTGAGCAGTTGGTGCACTTGCCTCCTTGCTCGCTATGCCGCCCGTCATCGCGAGCTGATGCAGTGCTTGCAGGCTTTACCACTGTCATATGACAAAACAATATCTTTTGGTAACGCGCTAAATGAATGCTACGGTCATACAATCTGCATGGATACGCAATGCCGCAGTCTGCGACTTGCGGTGTGCTACCGATTTTCGATCGCATGAAAGTTCAGCAATTATTTGTGTACATAAGCACGGAGACTACATGACTAATTTTCCATCTTTTCATCATCAAGCGGCTGTCTAGCTACAAGGCAGCGCCGACTATCATTAATTATGCACTTGTAGCTAGACTGACGCTGATTTATTGTGAGTGATCGCAATTTATAGAGCATTATTGTCATGGCTCCGACTTTCGGGCACGGGTTGTACCGTTTATGCATGCTATCACCCTGCGTGCCTTCAATACAGAATTTTTGTGAAAATGCCATAAATTGAAGGTTACAAATGAAAATAACATAGGATCAGAGAGGTAGAAAAATCGCTAACAGTAATAAGACTAAGACGGAGCAAAAATGAAGTTTATTTTATCCAGTTCACCACTTGCCATGCTCTAGCCACGGCGACCTGCCTCCTGTACTGCTTGAAGTTTTTCAGGATTAACTTCGTCCCACTCGATATTAATCACGCGATTAATAAACTTGGATACATCGCTCTTTTCCGGTTCGTCGATGCGCTCTTTGAATACGTTGTAGCACGTCTTGCATACGCGTTTCTGCTCACGGTTGGCTGCGCCGCGACGCGTGCGGCCTGGAAAGCCCATAGGAAATCTAAACATCTCAACGTGCAGTGCAGAGCACTCAGCACAGCAAAGGCGACCACAGTGCGTGCAGTTGTGCTCGCGGTAGCCAAATTTGAACTTTTGGTGACACAACATGCACTCGGAGCGCTCCTTTTTCGTAATGTAGGTAGGAGGAAAGTAAATGTGAGAGATCAGGTAGCGCAAGTCCTTGCGAGGTAGCTTTTCAAAAACACTTTTGCCTTCGGCATCCTCTACGTCCATCTTAGCACCTGCACGCACCAACGCGCCAGCGATGTTCAAACGTCCTGCGCTAATAGCAGTGTGAATTACAGTTTGACTGTCGTGCATATCGTTCGGGTTGGCTCCAAACTTGAGAAGCATGCGGGGAATGATCACGCTATCATCTTTTGAGGTGATGACTGAGATGATCAACGGAGTAAACTTGCGACTGTTTTTAACGTTGGCACTTGCACCGTTTTCAAGAAGCAAGTGCACCATAGCTGGCGTTTTCGTGGCAGCGAAGTGCAGAGCAGTGTTGCCCTTGTCGTCTTCAACATTAATGATTTCGTCAACCGGCTCGTACTGCTCAAGGACGACCTTTACAAGCGGCACCTTGCCGCTCTTAACTGCAAGATGCAGACCCGTTTGACCGTGATTAGGCTCGCGGCTCAAAAGAGCGTCAGGACCATCCACACGCAAATGTTGCACCACACCGCGAAGATCGCCTTTTGCACACATCTCATGCAGCGTGCCAACCGGGTGGCTCTTCATAATTGGAGCCGTACTTCCCATCGTCACACGCACCGACGGTCGAGGACCGTCAGTATTGTTGATTGACGAATTTAAAGAGGAAGCCATCGAAGATGACATGTCGGATGGACGCACCTGGCCACTTGCACGAGTAGGTGACGGATGATGGTTTTCCGATGAGAAATCATTTACGTTGTCAACCGCTGCGATTCCTGTCGCCTCTTCTGCATTTGGAAGAATCGGCAAAGCATCTTTTTTTGTTTCAACCGAGAAATGCCCAAGCATCGCAACAGTTGAACCGCTTTTGTTGCGCTGAAATCCTTGCGTAGTAAGCTCCTCTTTTCTTTTCTGCTCCACAATCCCATCCTCGTTCTTCTCTTCCTCACCGAATTTCCAGTCGCCATGATCCGCATCGACGTCGAAGCTCTGATCACGCCAGGAGTCACGCGATGACCGCACAGAACCATCTTCCGAGTCCTCGAACCCGAGATCGTTGACTTCCGATGTAAGTACTAGATCTTCCAGCTCATGATGCTTCTCTTCTTCCTTCTTGTGTGCTGGAGTACTTGGTAGTTTTTTTTTTAAAGCTATGTCATCGTTGGAAATTGGTTCATCTGTAAACATCAGTGGCTTAGAAACGGATGTTGGTGCCGGCTGCGAAGGCATTTCCATTACTCCTTGAGTAACTGGTATCTTAGCGCTTTGACGCTGAGGTGGTGCCGGTGCCTTTGGAAAATCTGACGGTATTCTCTGCATGGGCATGGAAGAACGATCTGGGTGTGTTAAAGCTGGAACAGCTTTCGTTGATCCGCGAGGGTAGGATGGCACTGGTTTTGAGCCCATGGGGCTGGTAGGGCCTGCTGCGCCTCCGCTAGTTATGACGTAAGTACTTTTGCGAGGAATCGGGACGACCGTCTGATCTAAGACAGATGAGAGCTTTCTAAATCGTAGAGTAGCCGGCAAGTCGCAAACTTGCAAATAAGCAACAACATCGTCCAGCGTCAACTTGGTCGTATCTTTCATATTTATCGAGAGCAGGAGATCGCCCGGTCCGACATTCTTAATACCGAATGGAAAACCTTTTCCAGTCACCCGGCTGACGGCCACGCCGCCGTTGCCACCTTCGATTGTGGTTAGCGCCACACCCAAGTCACCACCCTCCCAGATGAGCTGATACTCGATAATTTCGTCTGTGTCTGAGTCTACCACGGACTCTACAAAGCTGCCCACGAGATCTTGAAACTCGGCTGCCTGCTCCTGCATCCAATCGGGTGCGTCACCTGCTGGCTTATCACTCATGGTCGTCCTTGCTTTGTTGAAGCCGCTTGTGCGCTGATCTACTTGTGACGCTACAAGGGGCACCACGAAGGCACATCGAATGCACACAAAATTTTATGTTACTCACAGTCGTCCATAGAGATTGCCTTCACAACGCCACAGTAAATTATAAACCACTTAAATGAATAAAGAAGCTTGCATTAATTCGTCATGTTACAAATAGCTCAACCCAAACTTCGTTGAACGAATCACATCGCTAACCAGGCGCATACTTTTCGAGGTAATTTTTATGCAGCACACAACCTAATTTTACCAATATTGTGGATTCTAAACATGTATTCAAGTAGAAATTCAATGAATCCACCTTCAAGCACGACATACGACTGCATAATATTGCAACACGACAAGTATCTTATTAGGTACACCAATACGACTTGACAATAAAATTCAGCTTTCACTCAGGTGAGTTACAATAAATTACAGAAAATTGCTACGCCTGCGGCGAGAGCTTCGAAATGTGCTCCAAGTTGCTCAAAAGATTCTTCATCTCCATTGTTGGTGTTAGGGTGCAATCGGTGCTCACTTCTGGGCTAGACAGAAAATGTTGCTGTTGTGACCGTGACTGGGCATGATGCTGGTGGTGGTGAATGGGTGACAAAGTGCTTGTTGTGAGGGATGTAGATTGATTGCTGCTGCTCACTGGTGAACCCGTGCCACAACTGCAACAAGACCGTTGCCGACGATACGTATTTGAAGTACTGGATCGATCACTTTCACTAGATCTTTCATTACTTTGGTGCTGAAGTACCGCAAGACTGCGTTGTAGCGTCATTACAGCAGTGTTTCGCTCTTGAAGATCACGCAAAAGTGTCTTCTCGTTGGCTAATAGCACAGCACAGCGCTTGCGCTCGCTATCCATCTGATGTTGCAGCGCCTCGATCTCTTCTACCAACTCTGCTGTATGATCCTCAACTGTTACCTTCATATCGTCTCGACACTGCACAAGAAGACGGATGCGCTTCACAGCTTCATCGCGCTGTCGCTTTGCTACACTGTAGTCGCTCTGCACATGCTCTAGCATCTGCCGAAGTTTGTCGATTTCGACTTGATAACTTTCCTTCAAGCATGTGACATCTTTCAGCTTACGTTGTAGGTCGCAAAAAGTCTGGGAATTCTGTCCCTTGCATCGGTGCATCTGTCCAAGCTGAATTTCCAGTGTCTTCACCTGGTCTTTGTACTTTCTCATCTGACAGCTCAACGCCACAAGATTCGTTTGATCAACTTTTGCCTGCTTTGCAAGCACTATCACTTTCTCATTTAGCTCAAAATTACGCTGGTCAGCGCTTTCAACACGTTGCATAAGATAAACCATATCGTGCTCCAATTTTTTACGCTCTTCTAGCAGCTTTTGCTCGCGAGTTAAGATTTCTTGGCGTCCGTTATCCAAGCGCTGAGTTGTCGCATCTAGTTGATTTGTAAGATGTGTCAATTCACATTTGAGCTCCTCCAACTCATGATCTTTTTGGCGGAGAGATAACTCAGTTGTAACCTTTTCTTCCTTCAAATTCGCCCTTTGCTCTTCAAAGATACCAATCTGCTGCTTTAGAGACAGTCTTTCCTGCTCTAGCTGCTCGACTTGAGAGCGAAGAACATCCGCCTTGCGCACTTCTGATTCCACTCGGTTTTCACAGCGTAAACGTATATCTGTCACATTACCCTCCCAAGTCTCTTTTTCTGCCTGCAGTAGAGCAACTAAGCGTTCAGAACTTTTCAATGACGTTATTATTTCCTCTTTCTCCACGAGTTGGCGGTAAAGATCGCTTAACTTTTCATTCTGGTGCGTAGAAAATTCACGATGAATCCGATCAATATGTTCCAGCTCTTCCGTGAGCGCCATTCGCTCAGTTTCAAAACCAACATTCTTTTTTGTCATAAGATTTAGCTCATTTCGCAGTCTTTCTAGTTCTTCGTGGGCTGATGCGGCACTTTCTTCGTCTTTTAACAGTTCCTTAAAGCCAGAGTCAAGCTGTTCGACTAAAGACGTCCGACAATGCTGAAGCTGCTGATACTTGTTTCGGGACTGCTCGAGCTCTGTCTTGAAGTGACAGACCTGCTCCTTTAGCTGTCGAATATCGTATTCCATTTGCTTCTGTTTATCCTCGCTGCGCGTAAGCTCATTCTCGAGGTTCCTTGCTGCGACGTCTTTGTCTGCTAAGCGTCCTCGTAGCAGTGTGATCTCCCGTTTAAGCGACAAAACTTCTGCCGTTAGGCTTTCCTGCTCGTGCTTAAACTCGACTCGAATGCGCTCTTTCAAAGCGGTCACTTCTGAGCGCAATGTTGATACTAATAAGGAATGATCTTTGGCAGATAAACGAGATTTAACACTCTGTAAATCATTTTTGGTGGTCTCAAGTTCTCGGTTCAATCTCGATAAATCACTCTGTAAGTCACTCTTTTCACGTTGCAAAATTGACACCAACTCCGAAAGTTCTTGTCGCTGTTTCTCGATTTCCTTCTTCGAAATATCATCCGACGCTAGCATTTGCTCTCGAAGTGTCAAGACATTGGTTGAGTTGTCCAGCTTCAACAGCATCTCCTTGATCTCACTGTTCTTCCGCTCGACCTCATGCTGAGTTGTTAACAACTCTGCAGCAGAAGCTGACAGCTGTCGCTGCAAGTGATGTATCTCAGCCTCTTGTTTAATTTTAGTGTCCTCCAAAAATTTGAGTCTGTCACTGATGCTGCGGATCTCAGACGAGAATTCTGAGCTCTTGGGATTATCACTAAAACCCCGATCTGCAGTATGCAGTAGCGCCTGCAGCTCGGTACGCAATCGAGTGTTTTCGTCGCTTGCTGTCTGTATATTTTCAAGTTGCTGTTGCAAAGTCGTCTTGTCCTGCTGCAGCTGCTCACACTCATGCGTTTTGTCACCCAATTCCTGCTCAAGTCTAAGGCAACGAGTCTGTACCTCAGCCTCCTTACGTTGCATCTTGATCTCGAGCTGCTCAATAGCTTTCGAAAAGCCTGTGAGTGTGTGCTTAGCTTCCTTGAGCTGACGCTCAAGATCTTTCTTCTGTCGCTCAAGACGCGTTTGATCCCTATCCCACGCGCTCTTTTTGGCTTGCAGCGCTTCCAATTCGTCACCGAGCGTACGATTCTCGCTCGCAAGCTTCGCCACGGAAGCTGAGTTGTCGTCGCCTTTAGCCAGAGGCAAGCAGCGGCGCAACGTCACAAGCTCTTGACGGGCGCGCTCCTCACGATTACGGTAGAATTCGACCTGACATGTCAGCGCCTCGATGGTGCCTTTCTGCTCAGCGTGCAGTTGGTCCAACATGGAACCATAAGAACTTGGGTCATCAATCTGCTTATGAAGAGCCGTGCCATTATTGCTGCTGCTGTACGTCGTGCTACGCTTATCTGTGTTGACACTGGAGAGCGAGCTGGAGCTACTGCTGTGTAGCACCATGCGAGGATTACGTGGGTGACGCGGCGCGAATTTCGCGCCAAACTGATTAGGTACTAGATTTTTGGTTGGGTCTTAAATTATTAGATTTGTTTTTCCGTAAGAGATAGCCACAATTTGTTGTTTATCCATCCAAAGCAAAATATGGACCTGGCCGAACGCGTGGAGCAGCTCGAGGTAGCGCAGCAGCAGCATGATGCGCGCTTAAATAAGCTACAGACTATTGTTGAGGCAGCTAATTCTGTGCGCGAGACGTATTACCTGACAACAGCCATCCACTACACGAATGGTCAGCCGCACATGGGTCATGCTTACGAGAATATATGCTCAGATGTTATCTGCCGCTATCATCGAGTGTTTGGTCGTGATGTTTACTTTCTGACGGGAACAGATGAGCACGGGCAAAAAATTGCGCAGACAGCTGAGGCTGCCGGTGTCACCCCCCAGCAGCTTGTAGACAAGTACGCAGCCATCTTCCAGCAGTTAACCAAGGATCTCAATATGAGCAACGACAACTTCATTCGCACAACGAGTGACAAGCATATAAAATTTGCGCAATGGCTATTTCAATGCGCGCTCGACCGAGGAGACGTGTATCTCGGAACCTATGAAGGTTGGTACAACGTGCGCGAAGAAATGTTTGTGACCGAAACGGAGGCCCAGCTGACAGATTACAAGGACCCTACGACCGGCTTGCCATTTAAGAAAATGCAAGAACAATCATATTTTTTTAAAATGTCCAAGTACCAAGAACGCTTGATTGAGCACATCAAGAAAAATCCTGAGTTCTTGCAGCCAGAGGTGCGTCGCCAAGAGTTACTTCGTCGCTTGGAGGAACCACTACAGGACCTCTCGGCATCGCGGAACACGTTTACGCATGGCATTCCAATACTTAACGACCCCCAGCACGTACTGTACGTATGGTTCGACGCACTGTCCAATTACTTGTCAGCCATTGGCTATCCGGACGGCCCAAGCGCTCGTTACTGGCCCGCTGACGTGCACATCATTGGCAAGGATATCACTTGGTTCCATTGTGTGATCTGGCCCTGTATCTTAATGAGTACGGGTATTCCGTTGCCAAAGCGTGTATTTGCTCACGGTTTTGTGAACGCAAAGGATGGTTCCAAGATGAGCAAGAGTATTGGTAATGTCGTTGACCCCAATGATATGATTCACAGATATGGCTTAGAATCGTTCCGCTACTTTATTGTACGCTCTGCGAAGTTTGGTCAAGACATGCCATTTTCTGAAGACGATCTTATTAATATCCATAACTCGGAGCTTGCCGATACCTTGGGCAACCTGGTGCATCGTACTGTCAATATTTGTAAAAAGTATTCGAATGGCACTGTACCTGATGCGGAGGCTGACAAGCCGTTTGACATCTATGCGCTCTTAAAGTATTCAGAGGATTCATACAAAGACTTCTCATTGCAGAACGCATGCATTGCGATTGTTAATGCCTTTAAAGATACCAACAAATATTTGACGGACAAAGAACCATGGCACATGAAGGAGGATGAGCCGCGCCTTGTCGTAGTGCGCACCTGTCTAGAAGCCATCTACGTATTGGCTCACTATTTGAGCCCTATCACTCCTCAAACCGCTGACATCATATTCAATAAGCTGAATACGCCTTCAACGACGCTTACAGCACTGTCTCCGGACTTTGACAATCTCGTGCCTGGCACCGAGGTATCGATTGGTAGCATTCTTTTCAATAAAATATTGACTGAAGAGGAGAAGCAGAAACAAGGCGAGAAATCCGTCGCCAAGGTCCAGCTTGTTAAAGCTAAGCCGACGAAAGCCACTACGCCGCTATTTCCCTCTCTGGATATCCGCGTTGGTGTAATTTCTAAGGTGTGGAAGCATCCGGAGTCGGAGAAGCTGTACTGTGAAGAAATAGACATTGGCAAGGACGAGCCTAAGCAAATAGCATCTGGTCTGCAACCATTTTATTCATTAGAAGAGATGCAGAACCGTAAGGTGCTAGTACTGCTGAATCTAAAGCCGGCAAAGCTCGGTGGATTCAAGTCGGACGGCATGGTGTTGTGTGCAAGTGACGAAGCTCACGAGAACGTTCAGATTGTAGAGCCTCCCGCCGACGCTAAGGTGGGAGAGCGGGTTACTATTGCATCACAGTGCGGTGATCCTTTGTCAGCTGCGCAGTTGAAAAAACAGAAGGTGCTGGAAAAGGTCTTGCCTGACTTCGTAACTGACGAAAATTGTGTGGCAACATACAAGGGCGAGCAGGTCATGACATCTGCTGGTCCGTGCACGGTGAAGTCACTGAAGGGGGCTTTTGTGCGCTAGATTTGCTGTCACTTGTCCACATGAGGTGGAGGAGTTGTAACGAAGTAGGATGGCAGCATATAAAATACATCGAGACTTTGATAAACATTGCGTAATCTCCATGGATACGATATAACGGTCCATATAAACTAAGTTTGATTTGGGCACCGAACACTTGTAACGTTTTGTATTTAATACAACTGTATCATATATGCAAGGGTTAATTAAGTACACAAGATTAAATACAGTACTTGCCCCCTTGTTTTTCACATTCATCTATGAGATTTCGATCACAGTTAGGTCCAGACATATAGTGTCATTTTCAAATCACTGCGCAAAAGCGACTACCCCACAAGCGACCACTGCATTGAAGTCCTACACTTGACCGTGCTGGTACTTCTGAGCGCACTTGCACTGGAAGTCTGATCACTCTCGCCAAATAAAATGGCCCAACAAGCCCCCGCCAAAAGCGCTGTTGTTCCTACCTGCGCGCTCAAAAGTTCTCAGTGAAAATGCCGAGGTGTTTTTCAATGAAAATGGTCCCAGTGACTCTCCAAGTTCCGACCAGACGCTTTCGTCCTCACCCGACGATACACGGTCTAGCCATTCCTCGAGGAGAACGCACTAGCTGCGCGCAGCCCAACGCTGCACAACATTCAGACTTAGTGCCTTTTCCCATCGGTGAGAGGCGTTTCGAAGACCCGCCGTGGAGCCCACGTCAATGTCCACGCCAAATTTTGCTCAAATCATGTCGTAGTTACGGTTCTAAATCGTCTAAAGTCCCTCGCCGCGCTCCTACACGCCAAGACACGTGAGCCTTCCGCTCTTACCCAGAGCGCAACGAGCACAAGAAAGTCGCTCTGCGACCGCTTTCTCAACTACAAATTGTCGCATGTTTTCATGGTACGTCCACAGTTGACGAGGCGATGCGTACAGCACACGGGTCAAACGCAACCTGTGTTGCATTGCTGAAGCTTATAAAAGCTAAGATGGATGCGTCGTTATCAAAGCGCGCCGAAGCACGCTTGCATAACTGCACATCAATTTCTAACCCCCAAGGCGCTCTGTATAACAGCACTATATCATTTGGCACAAGTACCTAACGATGAGAACCCCAGGTAAAAATACTGTATGAAACACATGATGCTCCCTGGACGGCCTCGTTGGAAGAGAAAAAAATGCATAGAGCCTGGTGAGCGTTATGTATTTGGGGTACAATACGTAAATGCTGGTGTGCATATATGTGCACGTATGTGTACATGTAAATTTGTGCCAATGGACAAACTTCGCGTTGAGCATATGGCCAAGCTCTTTCTCGGCAAAGGTTTTTTACCAAATGGCTTGTAGATGGTCGTAAATTTGGATCGAGAATTGCGCACAAAAAAATAGATTTGACGAACGATGCTCAAGGCAGTTGGTATCAGCTTAAAAATATCCACTGTTGACTTTCCACAAACAGGTGGTCAGACAAACGCGTCAATCGAACGATGAAGGGTATAGCTTTGAAGCGCTCGCGCGGTGAGACTGCAGTACTGAAGCAAATGCTCCTATTATCTAGGTTCCGTTAAAGTGTAGTACGTGCCTCAAACGGCTGTACTCTGTTACTTCGCTTGATCGCGTAATTCATTGGCACTACCTCGCAGTGCTCTAGTTGGTGAAGGCGGGTTTGTTGATACGATTCATTTCTTGTAAAACATCATGTGATCTCAGTGGGCTTGCTAAATCCGAACCACTTGGATAATTATGGGCTCCGATGAGGACAGAGCAACGCCACAACGATCTCCGCTATCTGAATTACAATTTGCCTTTCCGCAGCGATTCAGTTCAGTATCGTTTTGATACCTCGAGTCACTCCGCTTCTCAGAAAGTGATTCAAACAATACCCATCTTAAAACTGGATACAAGTAAAAGCTCTCGGTGATATTCAAAGTGCCTTCAAAAACACGGGATGTCGCTAGCGTCGATCGCTGGAGGATCATCTTCCGCTGCACAGCCCGCTGAGTAAGGTGTGGTTTACTTTCAGATAAACTGGATGGTGGAACATTGTAACGGTTTACATGTACGCTGGTATGAAGGGGTGGGTCATACAAGGGTGTAGGTTACACAATACGGTGTAGCCGCACATTGATGGGCTTCACCTTAGCAAGAAGTCAGTACATCGCTAGAATTCCAGTAGTTACGCATTTAATTAGTTTTTTCTATTTAATTGGATAAAACCTATAGATTTAGATATAGGCGGCTTTGCCGCAAATTAAACTAAGAATGCACTTGACATTTTAAACGGAAGAATTTATTTGCCTTGGATTAAGGTTGTGGTTACTCTTGGCGTAAGCGGATTGCGATTCGCTACACTCGTACTTGTTCTAAGTATAGAACGAAGGTCACCGACCTTAGCTTGGCTTCCTCAAAGCTAAAGATCCACTGTAGCCCCGCTGCACTCGGTAGCACTTTTAGTCAATCTACACCTCAGTCGTTACGACTGATCTTCTGTGAGAAGAGAGTAGTATCCTATTTGCCCCAGGGCATGCATGCAGGATGGGCTTAATAAGCTGATGCATCTGCTTGGCCCTGAGGGCGTGCAACACCTCGCTTCGCAAAGACCTGAAGCGTTTAAAAGCTCCGAAATAATCTGCCAGAGCATCTATGGCAGGATATGTCGGCATCGATTGCGTCCATAACGCCACCGTCGGCGACGGGTAAATCCTTCGGACCCAAGCTACTCATAGTGAGTGTTACGACCTTCGGAGGCGTATATGGGGAGAATCTGCTGCTCTGGGTGAGAGGGGTCGAGATGACAATGGCGTCCACCACATTCAGATCGAGCAAATGCGCGTGGTGCTACTTAAGTTTGGTGAGCCATGACTCACCTCTGCTAGGAAACAAAAACGCTTTTGGTGCGGGCACTGGGCAGAGACGGTCAATGCGCTGGATATCGAAGTTGTCAAAAACTGGAGGTGTATCGGACAAGAGCCCCGAGCATGGTTCGCGGGCTGCGCGTCGAGTGGCATGTAGCCCACTGAGTGCTGCGTACATAGAGGGCTTGGTCGGACGAGGTTCGAGGCATCCTGGGCAAAATCCTTCTGATGAACGTGGGAGTTGCACGTTATCCACTGGACAAAGACTGCGGAAATAACAGCTCTTCGTTGGAAGTTGCTCACGTTGCCATCGACTGTGCACTGCTTCAAGCAGACGCTGAGGGGCGAGATTGGGTGGTCGCTTCGAATCTGGCCAGCTTAAGGCCGCGGAGAGGAACTACCCAGTCCACGACAAGGAACTACCTGCGATGAAGTATACACTTGTCAAGTTCAGGGTGCACCTGCTTGGCTCGAAGGCGTTTGTAATCTACACAGATCATGCGTTATTACACACTCACCTCTCGCAGAGGATAGCCAGGTGGCCCTCATTCTTTGCAGAAAATAACTTCGAAGTGTAGTATTCGCCAGGAATGCATAATGCGCTGGCTGATGCATTGTCACGCAGATCGTACTATGAGCTTGATCATGTCACGACGGTGACGTCGACAGTGACGGATTTGATCTGCGTCGCATACGCGGGTGATGGTATGTGTGTAGTTCTGCTACAGGCTCTCGGGAGCAAGGAATTTGGAAACTTGGACAAGATATTGTCGGCACATTTGCGCGCAGGGTTACACCGATATTCGTTGAATGACGTATTGCTGTATTATAGCACCGATCCGACGGATACGCCACAAATTGTTGCTCCTTACGACGACGATTTGTAATACCGTATCTTCTATGAGGCCTACGACACCCCACTCAGTGGTCATCTTGGTCATGAGAAGACGTACAGCTTGATGAGTTACCACTATTGGTGGTCTAAGGTTTACAAATGGACGAGTACATATGTGCGCACGTGTGAGACATGTTAGAGGGTGAAACCCTTTTCGAATGCGGCGGCGCCGCGGGCAAGGTTACCGGTACCTTCCGGGTGTTGGCAGTCCATGAGTATGAACCGTGTGTTTGGCCTGCCGAAGGACTCGGCGGGCAACACGGGTGTGGTGGTCTTTGTGGACCGTTTGAGCAGTATGGCAGTGCCGGACACCATCGACGTTGTTTGTCGATCGTGTCTTTCGACAGCATGGAATCACGGAGTCAATTGTCTCTGATAGCGATCCGCGCTTCACTGGGCAGTTTTGATCTACAATCTTCAGGGCGCTGGGCATCAAGTTGACTATGTCAACAGCAGACCATCCGCAGACCGATGGTCAAACTGAGCGCGTTCATCGCAGCGTCTGCGCTGAGGCGCCGAAGCACTGGAGCGCCACGCCGCCACTCGTAGAGTTTTCTCTGAACAGTGCAGTGCGTCTACCGGCTACACGCTGTTCTACGTGAACAGGCTTGTTAATCCTCACACCCGCTACGCCGCCATCCCATGGCTCAGGGCTTGGTGGGGGAGGAATAGCCAAACGGCTAGCTG